GAAGTCTTCTGCCACTTGGCTATGCCTAGAAAGTCTGTCCATAAAAATTATGAACAGAATGGGTAACAAAGAGTCCAACATACTGTCGGCTGTGCGGACCAAGCGCTTGCAACAGTTGTATAAGGATCAAATATCTAGTCGGTACCTCTCAGCCTTACGCACTAGCTCAGGCTGTTTCCCAACCAGAGAGGTGAGGTTCAGTGCCCCAGTCGCTAGTCTCGGGACCCGGGGAGTTGTCCTCCAGGGTGTCCACCCCCAGGTGGTGGACCTACAGGAGGGTGGGCCTGTCTCCCTTCCTCGGGCTGTGCCCGGCCAGGCCCCGTGAACTAAGGTCTGGCCACCAAGAGCTCACCTCCGGGCACCCTCCCTGGGCCTGGAAGTAAAATTGCAAGTTTTGTACATTTTTATGCAAAATTTTCTATGTTAGACAAACTGATCAGCATAGGAAAAAAAAAATCATAAAACCTGTTAAATAACTGGAATTTGGAAATCTGAATCTTTATGTGTGTTTACAGTATGCAAACCTAATGATAACATGCTATTTATACATTTTTCAGAGACTTCCTTTTCTTGCTCTTGAGAAATGATCCAGCTTTCCTTTAGTTTGCATCAGTCTTTTACATCAGTTTTAGATGTGTTTAACTATGCCAAGTGATTCAAAATTGCATCTTTATGTCTTTCCCGTCTCTGAATGACTTGAAACACTGGAGGGTGTTTGCCATTATCCTGTTGATGTGGAGGAAATCTTCAACACCTTCCCATCCCCCATCTTATTTTTGTTTTCCTCCACACATTATTTGTCCTTTTATTGTGATTCTTCACATACCCTGTTCCAAAGAGTAGATTTATATACATTGTGTGCGACCTGGCATGTCCCTGGATAGTATGGCAGACATCTCTGTCATATTTCGATCAGCTGCTGGCTTTATGGCCTCCCTCTTCTGCCTTTTATAACGTGCTACCTAAAGTCACAGTGAAACTCCTGCATGTGACACATTTCTCAGGTTGAAATAATGTTGTCAAATACTAAAAAAGTTGAAAGAAATGCCCACAGAATGGTTTAGAAATGTTGTTCTTGAAGAATCAGCACTGTTGATCAATTAATACTCGTTTTGTGAAATGCATTTATTGTACTACAGTATGAACAATAATTGCCAAATACCACAGAAAATGTAACATTAAACCTCCTGAAATAAATGGGACACTTCTATGCAAGAGCACGTACCAAATTACGCCAGTCAAATTCATTCCTAAGTAATAAGGTTGGTCCGTCTGATGTCTTGATGCTTGTGTTGACTGTGGACTGTACAGTCACTAACAAAGACCAGAATGTGAAGTATTTCTTCATAAATGTATCTGGTACCAAAATACAACCCTAAGCTGTTGCGTACTCTCTTTTCTGACAGTATATTTTTGTTTCTCCCAACTGAAAGGCAACGACCGAGAGGCAAGATGGGAACAGAGTTCAGGAAAAGTTCATTCCAAATGCTCTATAAAATTCACATATGTTTAATCTTGTGTAGTCTTCTTGTTGAAAACCAGAGGAATCATAAAAAATGTGTTATTGTACAACTCTTGGATCGTTATCATCCTGAAAAAGCAAAATAAGTGATTAAATTCGGATGCAGATGGAAAATGACTTATGTGATTGACTCATTAGACAGAAACTGTGTAAATCTGTTACACATTGAAGCACGGAACAATAGACAAAAGGAAACCTAAAATATAATGCTTTTATTTATTTTTTTAAGCACTCAAAAACAGCAGAACAAAGAGACGGAAAAGACTAGGAAACTGACAGAGAGCAGGATTCCATGTGATGTTGTTTGCACCAGATACAAACCTTGTCTGACTACAGTCTAAGCTCTGTGCTACAATATAGATGAGAAAGAGAGGGGAAGAGAATGGGTTTCACTGAAGGAGGAAAATGATAAAAAAGAATGTAGAATGAAAAGGTGACCCAAAAATAAGGAAAGTAATGAAAGAGTACACCTGTCACCTTCAGCTTATGTTCCCATTAAGAGTAACTCACACAGGAGCCAGAACATGAAAACCATAGGGGCAGACATGCTAACTAAAGAATTAGTCAGAGACGATTTAATCAAAACGCACCTGGTTAGAAGAGAAATAAGAGGTTTGATTGTCACGCCATTGTGCATTGATTGCAGACCATAATGTCTTATATGTCCATCTGTAAATAGATACCAAGTGAGTCATGAGAGTATCTGATATTTTAAGCCATGATTTATACAATAGCTTTCTCTGTAATTTGAGCAGTATAGTATCTTTCATGCAATATTGCATGAATATCGTTCATGCAATATTGTATTGCATGAACTTTGAATGCAAAGCTCCTCTAGCAGCGTCCGAGAAATAAACTGAGGTGATGAAAATAAGAAAATAAGAATAGCATACCTCGTTAAACATTGTTAGTGCAGATGCTATATAATTATGTATAATTAATAGTAGCCTAAACCTTTTGTTGCATTTTCTTTGACAGTAACTACTTCAAAAAAAATGCTGTAGATGGATAAACTCAGTATTTATTGAAATGTAAGAAAAGAACAATAAATAAATTTCAGCTTTTCAATTTTTCACATTTAGTTCTGTCCTCTTTTTCTTGCATTTGTTTGTCATGATTATCAAATTTTTGAGTTGTGCTATTTGGAAAATAAAAAGATTCAGAGTTTTTATATTGTACAGTTACCATTGCAATTTTCTTTGATCTGACAATACTTACCTCATTTTCTTTATTTCATTTTCACTCTCACGTATTTCCTGCCCATTTGATCAGATCCCCCTGCCCTCGTTAGTATCAACCGTATCCAGTAACCCTCTTCTCCTGTGTTCCTTTTCCCCTGTGGCAGCTAAACTCAGTGTTTTTGTGTCTCACATTCCAGCTGTTTCTCCTCACATTCTCCTTGTAGTCATTAGATTGTACTGTTGTGTTATGGATACTGCTGTTGTGTAGCACTTTTTTTGGGTGGGATACAGCCAGATTTATTTGGACTGTGTAGCAAACTTTGTTGCAAGTAAAGACCTTCTTATTCAAGCTGTCTGAGAGTGACTCATGCATTTGAGTCGCATCTGTTGGGATCCTCGTTACGGTTCCCAGTTGACTTGACAATCTTAGACTTTATACATAATGGTTTCGAAGCGACAGTTCCCCCATGTCTAATATGACAATGATTCGCATTCGTTCTCTGTGTTGAATGCGTAATTTATATTGTGTACTTTGATTGCACAGTTATTTTCTCATGTTGCCACTATACCGGTGAACAAGAAAGCACTTTGCCTCGTGTTTTTCTATGCATAATTTGTCCTATTCAAAGTTATACTGGCTTGCCTAAAACAATCGGCTTTTCATCCTTTTCATTTAAGATTATTTTACCCGATTGACTAGAAAACAATTCTGCGCTTATGTTTGATGAGGACATTTGGATGTGCAGAGGACATTTATACAAAGCCGAAGCTGGTGCTTAATACTTAAATCTTCAAATCTCCTCTCTGGCCTGGTGTTTTAGAAAACACTGTACAGTCTGTGAATATTTGGTTGAATCACACAGTCTGAACTGTTTTTTTTTCTCCAAAATTCTTAATGCCACTATGAATATTTGAAAGGGGATTAGATGAGTATTTACTCAAAAGATGTGAAGCCCCATTTCTAGCACCTGCTTGGATTTAGCCCACTGATTTTTTCATTCCACACAACACCGAATCCCATTTCATCCCAATTACGCAGGCATAATCATATCTGTTTAATTGAAATGATCATATTCGTCAATGAAGCACTCCCTGTAGATGCATTTCTCCTTAATATACTTCATTGTACAGTCTATTAAACACACACCAAAGCTTGTAATAATTAACAACAGAGCATGCATACCAGTGTGACAATTATAGTCGTTTGTAATTGCTGGTCAGTCACTGACCTGTTTATTTATGGTTCACCTTAAAGTTCTTAATTTTCATTGAATCTCTATGAAATTATATTTTCCCAAAACTAGGGTGATATGGTCTGCAAAAAAAAAATCATCTCTCAACAAAAAAATGTGAATTAGACAAAAAGAGACATGCAGATCTACTGATGTATCAACAACTGCAACCAAAACTTTGCGTTTCTATCAATGTTAACAAAATCCCCAGCACCACTGGCTGCAGAAACTATGTTCTCTTTGGAATTTTAGATTCAATGAAATGTGTATTTTTTTAAAGACCACTTTAAAAAAAATTACAAGAAGAAACGAGGGGTAGTTTGAGACTTTTGCACACTGTCGTATGAATGATGGTGACTATATGAGGAGTAGGCGTGTTCATTAATATCTATCAGAATGCATGTTATTCTCTAGCACAACATGTAATGACTTTTATGGAGCCAATATTGAAGAAAACTGCAGGGCTTTTTAAAATAACATTATGCCAAAGCCAAAGTGAAGAATTCAAGACTGTGTGGCAAAACTGAAGGAAAACAGCACCAACAAGCCTGAGGTGCAGGTTACTTAACAAAACTCAGTAAGGAGGAGAAACAGCAGCTGATGTTTTTGACTAATTATGAAGGTGGCACTTCCAGCTGTGCCACTCTAACAATGCGCAATCTTCCCCAGGGGGGAAACTGTTGATGTGTTCGCATAGTGCATAAAAGAAACCACGAATAGGACCGAGTTGTGGGAATGTTCTCTTTCTGGTCATGTTTAGAATGAAATTCTTATTGGCTGCACTTCATTCATTACCAGTTCAAGCATGAGGTCTTCAAGGTAACAGTCTGTAGAAATCAAATGAGAAATGCACCAAGAACGTTTTGCAACCCCCTACCGAAAATACTTTTGGTTGTATGTGTGCGTGATTTCTCTCTTTGTCTTCACACATGACGCACGTTGAAGCATGTGGCTAGATTATTGGACATGAATATTGCGTTTCAATTCTTTCCATAGGGATTTGTTTTTGCGGAAACAATCGAGTCAACTAACCATTAACAGCCATTCATGTTGTCATTTTTCCAGGTATTCCAAGGGAACTTTGACAACGACACACACAGAAAGAACGTGATAGACCCGCCTATCTACGCTCGGTTCATTCGGATCCTTCCCTGGTCGTGGTACGGCAGGATCACTTTGCGTGTAGAAATACTCGGATGCACAGAGGAAGAGTAAACCCTTTCCTTCATCTGTCTGCCCATCGCCCCTTGTCCCTTGGCATACTGGAGTGTCTCACAAAGTACTTCAGAAATAAACTGTGCAACCTGTAAAAAGAAATTGATTTCCAATGGATTTTTCAAGAGTATGCGTTGGTTGTGATGGGTTGCTGTTTGTTCTTTTGTACAATGATTTAAAACCTGCCCCTGCCCCTGTTTGTCCTTTTGTTTTTCCTATTTAAAGCGTGATCTTTGTCTTTTTATTCCTCTCAAGATTTGCCATCCTGTTTGGAATGAACTTCTATAATATATATATGGGAGGGGTGGGTTTGGGGGTGGTGTCAGAAAGGGAGTCTCCCTGTGGTTTTAACTTGTTGCCATAGAAGCTATTGTACAGTGTCACTTTTTAACAAATGTGTGAAATCTGTCTGTTGTGCTTCATTGGACATGATTAACCAGCGTCATGCCATGACTAAACTGTCTAAATGATCATGTAGATGACATGTTATCTCATCATCAAATGTGTTTTTACTTTGAATACAGCACCTCCTCAAGCCATGCCTTTTCCCTAATGGACACTGGCATTACAGCATCAATCAAAACACTGCTAAAGCTCTTGTATTATATGTAAAAGACTAAGAAATTGCATGGTGCGTGAACTATAAATATATATTATGAGAAATCATTTAAAACCTCCAGCCCTGAAAGCAAATGGATTTGATTTAGAGACCTATTTTTATGTGCATTTTTAAATAGTTCTGAAACATTACAACACACTGCAAAAGCTTAATAAAGATGACTGATACGTGAGACAAAAAGCAAGCGCTGCAGTTTAAAGTGGTTCTGCAGCACTGACACTGAGGCTTATAAGGTTGTATGTAGTTGAAATGTTAGCTCACATTTTTTTAACATTCGATTATTGCTAGATGTAAGATTATTTGCTATTATTGTTTGTTTGCCATTTTGCATTTATTTTATTTTGTTTGCTTTTTCAATCTCAGCTGTTAGATTCACAACATGTTTTTAATGTCCTCGTGTTGTCTTGGAGATCTAAGTCAAATCAATTAAAAAAGCTCAGGATAGATGTGATCCATATTAACCCACAGCGCATATTTTTGGCCTCCTAGTTGAAGATTTCTGTGTTATTATTTAAAGAAAATACCACGTGAGTGAAAGTAATTATTGAAATCATCCATATATGCATAACTCAAACGCTGAAAGCAGTTTCTTAATATCCTTAATTTCTTTGACTTGATAAGTGAAAACCTTTAATTAATTTCCTCATTTTCAAAAGACAGGAAAATTGCTCGTATTACTATCGTCATCTCAGACCTACAATGACCAGAGTGACAGAACAGAGCTGTAAATTAATTATGGAAATGGAATAATAAGCTTTTATTAAAATACTGGATTAAAGTATAGGAATAAAATATTAAAATGCTTATATGTGTTTCCACTGTTGCTCTCTGCATTTTCAAATGGTTGCAGGTTGCTAAACATATTTAAAGACTTGCAGTTTTTACTGTATGGCTTCTCTTGTTGGCTACATCTGCAGTAAATGAACAGCAATGTTTAGCCAGTTAAATAAATGGAAGCAAACAAACCCTGAGGTATTGCAGTAGTGTCAGAGCTTGTGGGCCTGTATCGGACCTGGATTGCTCAAGGGTTTTCCACTCTTGGCTAGTTTTTCCAAAGCTCTCTAGTGCAACAATAAAATCCAAAAGGAGCCACTTCCGCTTTTATACTTCATGTTTCACTTCAGCCTTGTCAGCTTTCAGGCCCATAACAAACCCTTCATTTTATATTTTCAGAATCTAGTTCTGAAAAAGAAAGTGAGAAATTTACAGGAATTCTGTACTGAAATAACTGCATCAGCCTTTAACAGATATTTTGATGGCATGAATGAATAAAAATAAAAATCCTTTAACATTATTTTTTAACTTAATTCTGCAATGTGAAATGATGAAAAGTACAGAAAGACATCATGAATGCTTCGAGACAAAAGGTAAAAAGTCTGAAATTAAAAAAACAAAACCTAACAATGAAGTTACCTAACAACCAAGCATAGGCAGTAGTGTAGGTTTGGTAAATGGCAGTGTGATATGATATAGTATGCTATAATGGACCGGATGTGTGTTAAGATGTTATTTAAGTGTTACGTATTTGTGTAAGTAACATCGAAAGTCTGCTGTAGATTACCTATGTGTTTCTTTTTCTTTGTCTTTGGAGTGAACTGGTGACTCCATTGACACTTCATAGGTTCATGATCACAGGACACACATAAGTATACGAGTATCTCTTGTATATTTTACATATTCGCTGTGATTCTTTATCGACAAGTATCAAGTATTTCCAAGATCTGCTCCAGTTTGTCTTTGTAGTTAATTTGTCGTGAGCATTTATGACAAAGCAGGTGTGCTGCAAAGCTTTGTGGAATTTTGCATGATGATTTGAAGCGTACAGTACAACAAGGATGTCCACAGGCACATTGTGTTCTTGCATATCATAAAGATCTAATAGCCTTTACTTTGTATTCACCATCAGTTGTCTTGTGCATTGTAAAACTGAAGCATCTCACGGGTCCAAACGGGGAAAAAAATAGAAACTCATCATGTCTTTGTATTTCAGTGTCAACTGTTCACATATTATTTCTTACTTCCTCAATCTCACTGTCACCCACTATCTAGAAAATGTACCCATCATAATAATAGTTAGGTTCAAGCCTGCAGAGGAGAATCTAAAACTCTGTACAGTGGAAAAAAAAAGACATTGCTTCAAAACAAAAAGTTCTTTCAGTTTGACAAATAAAAACATATCTGTGAAAATGATACGTTTGCTTTGTGTTTTTTGAAATCTTTGATGCCATTGATATTACTTTAGTAGGAAACATAATAGCTTCAAAAAAAGAGTTTCCCACCTTTCTAAAGGCTGGGAACGCAGCATCCACACAGTGGAGCACACAAGTATTTCAGAGAGAGAAAGTTATCTTTGCTTTTTATGTTTTCTTTTTCATTTTAGCATCATAAGTCTTTTGCTGTTTCACTGTTGTTACAAAATTAGTTCAATTTCAAACTTCTTTCAATAGCCACAGCGCAACAGCCTTTTTTCCCAGGATGTGTACTATTTCACAAAGACACACACATACAATGAGTTATACAGTGAGTACCCCTTATGTCAAGGATAAGACTAAATGCCTATGTGGAAAATAAAGATTTGTTAGTGTAATTGTCAGCTGTGAACGGACTGGTTTATGATTTGTGACAAACAATTAAGTCTCAAGGTTCAGCAAACTGCATACATACAATTCCATTAAATAAAAACCCAATCACTAACTGAGTGTACAATATATATCCAGGCTTTTTGATGCCATTTTAGCTAAAAACAATGAAATATTATTATTATATTATATCATTAGTTATAATTTAATGTTTTTGGAAATGCTTTTTTGGTCACTATGTAGCCAGTATTCCTGTATTAGTATTAATAGCAACCTCTTGCATAGTCTGCAAATATGGAAACAATTCAAATGCTTACCAGCACAAACATTACGAATTCTTAGGATATTTAAACAAGGCATATTCCAGGCAACTACTTTTCCATTTCACTGAAATCCAAGAAAAAAAGTTAGACCAGTCGATTTGTCAGAAAACTCTAAGAAAACACTGACATTGAGCAAAAGATGGGCAAAGTTAAATACTGGCCAAATAAATATTGTGTATTTTAAGAGCTGTATGATATTATTACTTGCTTTCCTCGTTAGGCTTTTAATGTTTTAAATGTTGATCAAATATACATGTTGCAATTGCATGTTGCAATTGCCAGCCAGGGCAGCAAAAATGTTGACTATTCACACGTCCCCAGTTCAAACATTTTGATAGCTGTTTCCAGTATATAATTATATATTTAGACTTGATACCAACTACTAATAAATAACTAATCTGGGTAACTCTACATGGATACCAATTAACTGGTAGTATCTAATATTATGGTACAAAACAATTATTAGTAACAAAAAAAATAAATTGCAGTAACAAGTTACAATGGGTATGACATGAAGCTGCTGAGCTAGCTGTTTCCATCCTCAGGGTTCAGTTTACAGTACAATCATTGCACCTATTCGTCCAATTTTTGGCATTACTGCCTTTGCTGTTTTCGTTGTACCAGCAGCTACAGTTTTGGAGGAATGTTTCAGAGTTGACACCAGCTGACAGTAGCAGTACAAACTTTGATCACTCCCACTCAGCATGCAGCAGCAACAAATGCAGCACCACAATCACAGAGCTACCCGAGCGGCATAAGACCAGCACATCCATGAGTAACATGGTAATCATTAGTGAAGACCTTGTGCTGCTATATGGCCATAAAAATCATCGACAGACATCAGTATTAAAAGCATCATCCTTTTTCTTTGCCAAGGTTGATGACTTTGACTGGATTTTTCATACCTTATAGAATTTTACAGTTTAAAAATACTTGTTGTAATTTGTGATGCCTCCATTTAAACCAAAGAATAATTATGTTTCTGCTCCCATTTCTTGTCCTCTGTTGCCTTGCTGTTTCCTGAAAGAAACATGTGCATTGGACCTACTCATGCTATTTGTTATATTACGACTAAGCAGCAAGTTGCACCTGTGACGTTAGTAGAATAGTGGCACCCTCATCAGTTCTGCTCGTTTCCAACCCCCCACTAATTTGCACTGCTCTTTGCAGACTGCATTGTTCATTGCTGATATGAGCTGACTGCCTTGGTGTTCCTAAATTCGTGCATTGTCCGTAGATCTCACACAGAATTTCTTTGGTGTTTTTTTTTTTTCGATTACAACCTCGCAGTAATTTACCATGCATGCCAGATCTGACCCTATGTTTCATTGATTTACTGTGACATGCGATGGCCATTCTGTGCCTCCCTGAGGTTAGTGCCACAATTGTGGCAGCTTATCAAAATGAGAGTTACAGGGCTAACACAGTGCAGGCAAAAGTCCACTAATGCTTCTGCTATGGAAGTGTCAGTCCAGTTTAATGTAATTGGCTTGTAAACCTAGGTGACTGAAGCTATAGGGCAATGAAAAAAGTGATACGAAAAGGGGAAAAAATCAGTTTAGTCGAGTTAGCCATGCCTTTTAATACCCTTAAAGATTTTACATTTAAATTAGGAAGGGTCACGTTAAGGAAGATTGTGCATGCAACATTCCATCTAATCTACCTTAGATGTAATGTGAATACATATTATGGTGATCATTTATTGCATAAAAAGTTTAAGAAGTCAAACATTTTGTTTGACATATGGAATTTCCCATGTTGGGTCTGTCAGTAAATGCAACGTGAGGTGAGCACTGTGACTCTGGACCACAAGAAGTTGTTGTTCCACTTGCAATAAAGAAATGTTCTGCAAGAGCCCTGGATCGATCCTGGTTTTAGATGTTGGAAGACATTTACATTATGAATCAAAGTTGCTGTTCACTTGACTGGCAACGCAATTTCCCTGTGCAGTCGTGTTTTTATCCATCTGTTGGTTTAATTTTCACATCATGTGTTTTTAATTTCTTGTTCTCTTACTTCCCACCTTAGTAATCAAAGCAATTCTTGTTTTTCTCTCCATTTTATGTCAAACAGCTGTTGTTTTTAAAGGCTCTGTAATAAAGCAGAAAATTGTTTGCCATTTTAGTTTCAGCATTTGTGTTCGTGTTTGGACTCGTCTTTGTTGTCTTGACCTTTTATTCTATTTGCAGTTTCACGTCTCTTATCTTCTCCCAAGCAAGGAGCCTTAATCTATTACTGTGATCAAAAAGCAAGTCATATTTACTCTGGTGGCCCCATGATTGAATTTAGCTTTACAAACTGAAATAGCTTAACAGATTAAAGGATCACGAAACCTTATAAACCTGAGGTAGAAGGAGGCATCCTAATTAACAAAAGGCCTTGTGTAAAAAATAATTAAATTTCACTAAGTTAAACATATATAAACAGGTAATCCTATAGTATGTTTTAAAAGTACCTACAGGTAAAACATTATCCAGTGCAGTGCATAACAGAAAGCACATGTAGATACTGTATGTGATAACACTAAATAGAGATCAGAGGAATAAATTGTTAATAAAACAGTATTTCTCCACTTCAAGTACTTTACGAACACCGAACTCTGGAGAGGAAATTGAGTTAAATATCTTACTCCACCATCACAGGACTCAATATCAAATATGTACAAGCTCTTGTCACGATTCATTTCAAGCACTTTATTCAAGCATGGTGTTGCATAGCCTTAGAAATATCAAGAGTCCTATATAACGATTCAACATGTCTATTTTTAAAAAGCCATGCTGAAAGAATGAGGAATAAAATGTTTAGCGTGAGTGGAGTGTAATGTGTAGTCGCTCTTACTGCCTGTCTATAAAATTTGCAAAAAGCTATTTGTAGGAAAGTCGAGATTAGGACTTGTTCCAATCAGGAGTGTGTCCACCCCTCTGTTGCAGAATGCTACATTATAATGTGAGCAAAAATGACAGGTTTTGGATCACATTAAATACTCTGCTGCTGTTCTCGTGTAAAACAGACTAACAGAGCTGCAACAGTAAAATGTTTAACAAGAACTACTTCAGACAGCATAGAAAAACCTCAGAAATACAAAAAGATTTTTATTTTTTAGGGATAAAAATGTTTCAATCTTCAATTATTTTAATTAAGCCAGATAGCAAACAAATGATTCTGATTCTTTTGACAGAATTATCTTAACTTCTACTTTTACTTACTCCCGTACTGCATCTACTTTCTCCTTTGACAGCATCACACATCAAGGTACCGTGCAAAAGTCTTGAGCTGTCCCGCATTTCTTTATATTTTACTTACAAGAATCAGTTCTCACGAGCAATACTTCTCTCAAGCAGTCAGTATTTTGTCTACACATAATAGACAATGTAGCAAATAACCGATTTAAAAAGTACCTTTAGGCCCTTTGTTCCCATTTCTTTAGTTGAATCTATAAAAAAAGACATAAAATAATATTTTTGCATCAACAAGGTGATTCCTGAAGAGGTATTAGCCATAAAATGGCATATCTTGACATGGTGTGCAGTATGTTTTTAAAAACTTTGAGGAAACTGAAAAAGAGCAGGACAAAGGGTGTGAGAGAAGTGTGAGGTCAAAAAAATCTGCAGGAAATGGACAATATCTGAAGGCCATGTGCTTAAAGAAATTACTAGAAAGCTTAATAAGAAAGCCTGTTGACTTTATAAGCTTGTTAGAATTACACGCTCTCTGCATTTATCTTGTATGCTAAATTTAATTTATCTTTGCACACATTTTAATAAATAGTTACATATATTTCTCACTTTTCAGCAAAATAAGAATAAAATAGAGTTGGCCAGTAAAGTACATTTCCCCAACCCTAAACAATTACATCATTAAATGTTCTGATTTAATTATGTATAAGCTTTTTTTTTTTTCAGCAAAATATTCTGATGTGGGTTCAAGTATGAACCTTGTTAATGTTATTCGATCTTTGTTTTCATGGTTCGAATAACACGTGAAGTTATGGAGCAGACATGGTTAAAACAAACAGTGACTATCTGTTAGAAACAAGAAATAAGCAGTGATAAGTAATTCAGTGATCTTACATATTTTTCTTACCTCACTTGTGAAAGCTTTTGTGATTAATCTCATCATCCCTTATCCAGAGCATTTTGTATCTAGAGCACTACAGTACATAGAGTGTTTGAGCTATATATAGTGTCACTTATCATATGGAATAAATTTATCTGCATGCCGTGTTGTTTGTCGCAATGAATATTGAGGGCATATGAGTTTCAAGTGCACTGTGATATCTCTCTTGTTATCTTGTTTGTGCAGTCTTTGGGGAGTTTTTGGCAGAACTGGGCCACACTTGTGTGGACTGTTCACTTCTCTAATGACACTGAAGCAAATGTTATTTTTGGTTCAGTTTTAAAAACCTGTAGTGCATTCAAGAGGGACAGAAATTGTGACTAATAAGCTCCTAAAAGCATTAAACTATCTTTTCCCCCCTGTTTTTGAGGTCATCTTGAATGCCTCCTTACACAGCGAGTGTAGCGAGTCGCATTGAGGTTAATAAAACAGCTCCTGTTTCTGTGAGAAGTCACATGACTGAAAACAGTGAAAGTAGGCAACACATAGGCAGATTAGAGGTTCTCGGACAGGACCAGTGTTCCAAAGCACCAGAGTTTATTACTTTGTATGTATAACCTTCTCACAAAGGTAGAGCGAATCCCTGGGAATTTTTACAACTGCTGGCATGGGTTGTTATTAGATTTGGTTACTTTAACAAGTCAGGCGCAATGAATTTACATTTCAAAACAGTATGTCTGTGAGTACACACTGAAAATGAGTCAAATGAATATTGACTTCATATTGCTCCTCCAATTTCTGGTTTTAAGCTGGTTCAAAGCTACAATAGGTGGATTGGTTTTATTATGTTGTAAATAAGGTGACAGATTGCAGGGCCAATACTAAAAAATATAGGATTTTAACTGTGTCTTAGTGATAAAAGAACTTTATTATAATGCCTATTATATGCCCCATTGTTATTCACAGTGTTTTGGGAACAGGTGTATTAATGTGGAATGTTATGACATAAGATAACATTATACCATATATATTTATCACCTATAACCCCACCCCCCACCCCACTGCCACAGTGTCATCATAAACTTTCTTTGGTTACTCCCTAGTGGTTAAAAAATATTCTCTCTCTAGAGTCAAGTTTAAAGTTTTAAATGAAACTTAATTACATGCAAAGTTGGGCCTGATGACAGATCAGAGAATAGAAGCACTGTCTACTTGCTGACATACACAGACTTTCCAGCAGTCTGGGATGATATTAGTCCAACAGTGCATTTTGTTTTACTTACACAGCTTTGCCTTTATTTAAAATTAAGATGGAAATGCCTAAAGGGTATTCATTGCATTCTGAAGCAGTAAAGGATCTAAAGGACTAGAAAGTGAAAGAAAAGAATACAAATAGAATAGTTACTGTTAAAAATAGATTAGGACTGTTTTCTTCTTCACTATCCACATTTTCTTCTAGAATGAGATAAAGATGAAGGAGAAACTGTATTACTCTGGCTTTACATCAGTAGAAATAGCCTGGAATAATCTAAATCCTCTTCCTAAGGTGATTTTTTGTTGTTGTTGTTGTCTGTTCTTTAAGATTATGGCATTCTTGTAGTGTCTTGTCTTATATCGCTAGCTAGTCAGATATTCTGATCTTAGAAGCTTAAGAAAAATCAAAGCTTGAATGGGAGATGAGGAAGAATAGCACTGGGTGAGTAAGTGATAATGTGACCAGTTGAAGGAGGTGACAAAAACTTTGCAGCAGTCTATGAAAGATACATGAGCCAAGCTCCCATGAGCCTCCAGTCCACGTTAAGAGGAACGTGTGAGTCCAGTGCCTTTGAGAGTCACCTTTCTCAAAACTTGCACAAAGCTATATATACAAAACTTAAAACTTGAGCAGAGATGTGCTCTTACTGTAGGCAGTGTTTAAAGTTCGGAGAGTAAACTGAGTAAACTGGACCTGAATAGACCTGAACTATCAGTTCTCTCTACTTATATAAGACTTGTTACAGTCACAAATGCTTATTTTAAGCATTGTCCTAACCAAAATATCTATTCTGATGTGGCTCTACTTTTTTTTAAATTTTAATTTGTTTTTAGCTCACTGCTGTATTTTCAAATACGGAAGTAATTCAAGCATAGTGTTTATGCTCATATTTCCTCCACATAAAGGTTGTACACTCCACCTCTAGTCATTTAGTCTCTCTCCTCATAGCGCCAGCTATCCCTACGCAGCTATCCAAAACTTCAGCTCCTTCCACAGAATTTGTATATGATTGATATCTGGAGATTGGCTACGCCACTCCATAATGTGCATCTTCTTTAGCTGCTCTTTTGTTGCTTTGGCAGTATGTTTTGGGTCTGTCTTGCTGTACGACCCATCCATGACACACTTTCAGTGTTCTGGCCGAAGGAACAAGGCCCCTGTCCAAGTTTTTATGGTATGTGGCTGCGCCCTTTGGCGCTTTGATGTGCTGTGCTTCTACCTCCATGGTTGACTGTGGCAATGGTGTTCTGATATATCACCTTTCTCATGGTTATGCTCACACCATGAGGGAGCTCCAGCCCGAGGGCATTTCATATTTTATCCATTTCCAGATAACCACACTTAAAAGTGACCTTTTCAAAGCTTCTTCTGATGGTCATGTAGCCCATTTAGTTTGTGTGCAGGTATACTTAGAGACTTAGAGACTTAGAGAGACTTAGAGCTTTTTATTGTCATTGTGCAGTTTCTTGCACAGCGAAATTGGGTAGCTGAACCACAAAGGTGCTAAAGTAAGAAGAAGAGAAACCAATATACAACGAAGGCGGAAAATAAATAAATAATTAAATAAATAAGAATAAATAATAAAAAACAGTGTATATGTATACATATGTGAGTGGAACTATATACATGGTGTATGTGTAGGAAACATTGAAACAGACTGGGACCAAAATAATTGCACATGAGCCAAAAATATTGCACAGAACATGGAAAGACTGAGATATTGCACATAGATGATCAACAGCAGTGTCAGGGTGGATGTGTTGGGGAAGTCTTTACACACTCTTAGTTTGCATTAAGAGTTCTGACAGCCCACGGGAAGAAGCTGTTCTTTAGTCTGTTGGTTTTGCACCTGATGGATCTGAGCCTTTTTCCAGAGGGCAGGATGTTGAAGAGGTGGTGGTTAGGATGGAGGTGGTCCTTTATAATTGCCCTGGCTCTGGAGAGACATCTTGAGCTGGCAATTAAGTCCAGGGAGGGGAGTGGACAGCCGATCACCTTCTCTGCAGTTCTGATGACCCTCTGTAGTCTCTTCTTGTCAGCTGTTGTGCAACCAGCGTACCACACAGGGATGGCGTGCACCAGCACACTCTCGATAGTGGCACGGTAGAAGGACACTAGGAGGTCAGTCTGCAGCCTGTTCCATCTCAGAACCCTCAAGAAATGGAGGCGCTGCTGGGCTTTCTTCACTAGGGCTGATGTGTTTGTGGACCAGGATAGGTCCTCGGATACGTGGGTGCCGAGGAACTTAAAGGAGGACACCCTCTCCACATAGTCACCTTTTATGGAGAGGGGAGGAGGGTCAGTTCTTGTTTTGCGGAAGTCCATGACCACTTCCTTGGTTTTCTTGGTGTTTAGCATGAGGTTATTGTAGTTACACCATTCTGACAGTCGCTGGACCTTATCCCTGTAGGCGGTGTCATCATCGTTGGTGATGAGCCCCACCAGAGTGGTGTCGTCTGCAAATTCGATGATGATGTTGCAGGGGTGCGTAGGGGTGCAGTCACTGGTGTAGATGGTGTATAATAGTGGACTCAGCACACATCCCTGTGGTGAGCCAGTGCTGAGTGACAGGGTGGATGATCGCTGGTTGCCAACCTTGACTGATTGTGAACGGTCTGTGAGGAAGTTTTTGATCCATGCACATGTGGAGGGGGGGAAGTCCAAGTTTACCAGCTTGTCTATAAGAATGTCTGGGATGATAGTATTGAGCTGAAATCAACGAAGAGCATCCTTACTGATGTCCCAGGATTCTCCAGGTGATGCAGAGCGGAGTGGAGAGCAGTGGAAATTGCATCCTCTGTGGACCTATTTGCCTTGTAGGCAAACTGGTGGGGGTCGAAGCTGGGTGGGAGGCAGTCCTTTATGTGTTTTAGGACCAGCTTCTCAAAGCACTTTGCAACCACTGGAGTCAGTGCGATGGGTCTGTAGTCACTGAGGCTACTGATGGTGGTGGACTTGGGGACTGGGACTATTATTGGCGATTTCAGGCAGTGAGGGACAGAGGCATGTGTCAGGGAGAGGTTGAATAGTCTGGTGAACACAGGAGCCAGCTGGTCGGCACAGGCTTTGAGGACTCTACCAGGTATTCCGTCGGGGCCAGCAGCTTTCCTCTGATTTACTGCTCTGGACACATTCGTGTCACTAATGTCTCTCGATAGCTCTTTAATCTTAGCCATGTTGATGAAGAGGTTGAAATAGAAGAAACTGATTCTGTGAACAGGTGGGCTCTGGATCCATAATGAGTTATGATCATGACTATCTGTAACTGATTGATTGTCTGTTATCTGTTTGTGTGACATGTGGGCACACAGCCAATCTGTGGAAGCCATGATTCTTGTTGGGTTGTTGGGAATCAAATACTTAATTCACTTTATCTTATGCAAATTAATTTAGGACATTTATGTAATGTGTTTTTTTAGACTTTTGGTTGAAATTCTGTCGCTTTCCATTGAAATGAAACTATCATAACATTAGAGACTGTTCAGTTCTTTATAAGTGAGTAAGTCTACAAATTCAGCAGCGGATCAATTAATTATTTCCCCCCCTGTAAGTGAAGTATGAAGTTATATTAAGTGGTGCGACGTATAAAAAGTCCAAAAAGACACATTAACTTGCATCCTGTACTACTCTTCTCTACTGCTCTTCTCAAGCTATTGCTCATTTTTTAACTCTGCAGTACAGCGAGCTGAACAGCAAGGATAATAACTGGTGCGTAGAACTAATCAGTCACAATGTTACAGATGTTTTTAACTTCATCTTTACCTCTAACTACCAGCTGTCTCTGTTACTGCCTGCACCGTAGGACTGTCTGAAAGGACCTTATAATGTTGCACCACTGTTTTTTATGCATATGTTCTTCCTATGTAAGGAGGATGGTACTGAGACAGCACACCTGCCTAAAGTTTTCTATACGTGTTTTCTATAAGTGGTAAGAAAGGTATCAGTTGTGCTGCTTTGCAAAATTTATCATTTGTTTACCTAAGTATTTGCAGTTTTTGAGACTTTATACATCTGCTAATGTATTATTTAGAGGAACATGTTGTTGTGTTGTGTTTTTAGTCATTAGGGTATAAGGTAAGATATAAGGACAACTTATAGAATCTAGACTTTAGATTATATGGACATAGCACATATGAAGCTATTATGATTTTCTTTAATGGAAATATACCAATTTTAATTGTTCCCCCTTTTTAGAATAGCTTTTTAACATTTGTGATATTTTGAAGATTTAAATTGGTTGTTGGTTGGCTTGGAAACGCCTTAATATCTCCTCTGGAAGAGTTAGAGAAGGTGTCTGGGGAGACAGGGATCTGGGCATCTCTGCTTAGACTGCTGCCTCCGCAACCCAGACCCAGATAGACATCAGAAAATGAAAGCATAGATAGCCGGGCAAAGCATTATTGTGATGGTGTAAGTCTAAGGTCTAAAACAAAATTACAGAAGTTACAAAAACAAAATGCTGTTTTTATATGAGTATAAAAACAGCATCATATAATATATGAGTAATAACAGTTTGACTCCTAGGAGCCAGCTCCCCACAGTAAGAACTTTTACTTTCAGTACTTCAGATTCATAGAGCTGGTAAATATACTTGCATTTTTTGCATGTCTTGCATTGAAGGATTTATAGTTTTCCTTTAATAGTTATGTTCATGTAAAATATTCATGCCCCTCAGTACTTCTGTTATTATTTTACAATAAACTGTATCAAAAGGGCCTCAAGACAAAGTTACACCTCTGTGCTGACAGTCTCACTCTGCATACAGCAATCCTGTTTAAGCAGCCAAAAAACCAACCACACTCTGCTTTTTCAAAAAGTAAACTTCATTAGAAGGAATGTTGAGAGGATGATATTAACAAAAAGGTTTGTGTAATGTAGTGTTACAACACACACACACACACACGCAGACACACACACACACACACACACACACACAGACACACACACACACACACACACACACACGCACACACACACACACACACACACACACAAATATATATATTTTTAAATTTTGTTTCTTTTCTTTTGTCGCCCTTCAGTTTGTCGCCTGTAGACTTGTGAAACATGTTTTCATCTTTGTCTGCTGGTTCAAATGTGCTTGCTGCTATAGATACTCTGTGGACCCAATTAGAATCAAACAATAGAAACAAAATCCCTCAAGGTAGTGATTGTGTGGTTTGGACATTTGTATCTGCAGTGGTATGGGGTGCTGAATCTGACACAATTTGAAAGCATTTGTTTTATATCAATACTCTGATACTTTACACTCTTAATTTATGAGCCACTGTAAAGGAAGGATAGAGAGGCCCTACTATGATGGAAAACCAGGGATTCAGCTTTTGATGACTGGTCAAAAGAAACAAAAAGATGGATGAAGTTTGGTCCAACCATGCAGTAGGCCAAGCGACCTATCTCTTTAAATTTTAGAGAAACGTCTGTATTGTACAGTTAAAGGAAATCATTATTATTTAATCATCCATAATGACCTAATTACTAATAAAATTGCAAGCTTTTTTTAGTGAGTTTAAAACGTTCATTAATATGTGCCACCAGCTTTTGAATGATGCAGTTTTTCAGATTAAATTCCATTGTGTTGCACCAGTTTCAATGACAACACAGTGCACAGTACTAATAATGAAACTAATAAGTATCAAAATAACAAAACCGCAGCTGGGGAGAACATCCCGGGGCAACTGTGTTAACTAAGTGTTATCACATTGCAAAAATAGCGCAAGTACAAAAAAAAACACAATAGGCACACAACAATTGACAGTAATACGAAAATGTTGTTGCAAAATCATAATTGCTCACACAAATTTAGGCGTGAGTTGATATCAAGTGCCTGTACTGTGCAATCATGGTCTAAAAATTGAATGCATAAACAAAACTACCAAAAGCAATGGAAAAAAACAGACCGGTGGTTCTCCAAAATTTGAACAAAAATAAAAAAATAAATTAAAAAAAAAGCCTGAGAGCTGCTTGGACTGGAACAAAGAGACATCATTCTTCTCCAACCTCCCTTAAACAGGGGCAGGACAGTCCAATTACTTTGTCGGGTAGCACCTGAGAGCAAGGAGAGGAGAACAAACTCAGCAGCTTAACAGACATTAGAGCACAACATATTTTTATGGATATTGATTGATTTATTGATCAATTTGATCATTATTCTCATGGTGTCAGCTATCAAACTTTTCCCTTCAGAACAGAAGGAATTCACCAAGATGATTTGGTCCTTATTTATATCCTGCAGCTGCACATCCATGATGCAAATCTCCTGTTGCACCACATCCCAAAGGCCCTCTTTTGCATTGAGATCAGGTGGTGGAGGCCAATGACTGAACACATTTTTGTGATCAAGAAACCACTCTGAGAGTTGACCTTTGTGACACTGTGGTTATAAAGGGATAGATATGGCCAGCAACAATCATCATGCAAACTGAGACTCATCAGACCAGGCAATGTACTTTTTGTACTTTTAGTTTCCTGTTCTTCAGTTACAAAAGGGGAACCTGGAAGCAGGAGGTAGCTTCAGAGATGCTCTTCTGCATACTTCAGTTGTTACAAGTAGTTACTGTTCCCTTCCTATCATCTCAAAGCAGCCTGCCCGTTCTCCTCTGATCTCTGGCATCAACAAGGCATTTTCACCCAGGGAACTGCTGCTCACTAGATATGTTCTCTTTTTCGGACCATTTTTTGCAAACTCTAGAGATGCAGGATGTGCAGGAAATTTATGGTTAAAGAAAACAGAAGTAGAAAATCATCAGTCTCTGAAATACTCAGACCATCCAGCATCAACAACCCATTCAAAGTAATTAAAATCACCTTTATTCCCTA